GTCGGGGTGGCTTTCCTTTAGAATGGATCAGTCAAGCTCTTCTTATCTTTCCCAACTTGAAAGCCAATCAAGCCACTATTCAAAAAGTCTTGGTTAAAGCAAGGAGGCACGGATCAAGGAATGAAAAAGCCTTTGGATGAATGAATTTAGGTATCGAAGTTTGACACTCTATCTTTCGATGGCACTATCACTTTGGAGCGATAGTAAAAAATACTATAAACTATAATAATTGATAATTTAAAATATTTTTAAAAAATATAAAAAAAAATTATAATAAAAATAGACTTATTTAAGTTTTGAAATTCGAAATATATCACATAAATTAGGAGAAAAAGAGTATGTCACTATCTATCTAGTGCACTCAAACAAAGCAGAAAAAAAGGAACTATTTTAAAAGTTTTTTGTCCTTTCCACCCGTGATGTAGTAATACAATAGTCCCTTACTTATTCTCTTTGTTTAATACCCCTTCATTTTAAATTAATTGAACTATTGAGACATTTTTCATTTTTCAAATTAATTTAATTGTTCAATTTTTAAGACTGTTTTTATAATTTCTTTCAATTTTATCCTTCATTAGTTAGTATTGAATTAGTTGCTAATTAATATTTAGTTATTTTAATCATGAATTTGATAATAATTAATAAGGGTAAAAATGGAAAGTTATGCTTAATTTATGTTTTAATCTTCTTTTTTTAAAGGGTGTGAAACACCTCAACAATTCAATTAATTTGAAATAGAGGGAGTAATAATTATCCATTATATTATTTGCGATGTCTAATAATAATTGTCCACTTTATAAAATTAATGGATAATTTTACACTTAGTTTTTAATTTACCCTTATCATGAATTATAGTAATATCCTTTTCTATTTATAATTTCTTAAGAAATATGCAAAGTCAATAGTGAACAAGTATTATTGGACAGAAGGAGTAATATTTATGACATTATTAAATTTATTTTACAATATTATTGACCACGACGAATTGTTGATATTCCTCTTCCAGATATCTTATAAGTCAGTTGAAGAGTAAATTCACCTGTTAATTTTACAATAATTCACAAAATTTAATTTTATGGTATAACTAAATATCTTAATTCTATTGCAATGTTGTTGATTAATCAAATATTTGTGTAAAATTGATATTTTAAGTAGTGGGGTATGAAATTATTTTTTTTTTTTTAAAAAATATCACTTTTGACTACATATCAGTGTTATGCATTGAACTACATATATGAATCAACAACTTCACGTGATACTATGTTAATCTATTGTTTGCCGTAGGCAGAGAATAATAATCATTAGTATAAGATTAGTAGTATTTTTCAAATTGATAATTGAAAGCATGTACTTCCTCCGTCTCATATTAGATTTTATCAAAAATATTTTTTATATATTATTTGATCACTTACTAAATCATAAAATTAATTAAATTATTCTTATTTTACCCCCAATAGATACACTTAATATTCCATCGGTTCATTCATTTTTGACAAATCAAGAAAAAAAATATAGATTTTTACCTATTATATCCTCAGTTTATTTAGAGAGTTATTATTTTTTGAAAAATGTAGAACCTGTTTAATGAGTAAATTAATTTTGAAATTCTATCAATTAATAGGGGTAAAATGATAAATTCACTATGTCAATTATTATTTTCTTAATGAATTTGTCAAGTTAAAAATGGACAAGTAAATAGGAACAAAGGGAGTATGACCATTGAAAGTTTAAACAAATTTTTAAGATCTAAGAATTTCTTTTTTCAAGAGGCTAATTAATATGAACAAAGGGTAAAATAGTAAAATTGATCAATCAATTAATAATTTCTTAATTGCCGTATAAAATAAAAAGTGTTCATCTAATATGAAACAGAGGGAATGATTTTTGAATTGATGACTATTTTATTTTACTATCAAGAGTAAATGAGTGCTATAAAAGAGGTTCAAGGTCTAGACAAGGCGTTCAAAAAAAAAATCATGGGTTAAATATGTTTTATTATTATAAAAGAAAGATTTTCATATAATATAACATGCTAAATATCTATATCTTTAAGTCAAAATTGTCCTAAAGAGAACAAAAATGATGTTGATAGGATCATATATAGGTAAATCCAAGATTCAAAGATACGGAGCGCCAGTATTTTGAAGGATAAAACATAATTACTTATCTAAATTCGAACTCACAAAGTTTCCAAATAAAATCACAATTTCAATCGGTGTGCATAAATGAGTTTCAATCAGTGTTTTAAAAGGCAGGGCGTGAGGCAAGGTGTTTTACTTAGTATAGGGCGAGGCGTAAGCCTTGAGACATGGGGTAAGACCTATGGATCTTTAAATTTTTAATTTACAATATAGTACAATAATATAATAACACAAAATTATAAAATATGTCGATAGTTTGAAATAATTATAAACATGATTAAAGAAACTCATAGAAAATAAAACTTTTAACATGATTATACAAGTATAAATAATCGAACATCTTAATTTTCTAATAATAAAATAATAATTATTTCTAAAAAAATGTTTCTATCACACTATACAATTTAACCCCCCTCCCCCCTCCCCCTCCCTAAAAGAAAATAATAAATAAAACTTACTAGTATTATAATAAAAATATCACTCCTTCATCAATATAAATAAAATTACTTTCAAATAGCTAAATAAAATATGATAATTTTGAGACATATGACAAAACCATGAAGACCAATCATAAGTGAAAAAATAAAATTTCGCTAGGTATTGTAAAAAAAAATGTTACGTAACATATAATCACCTTCACAGTATCACGAAATAGTAAAGATGTGATACTACAACTTGTTATTTGGGTTACTCTCAATCTTCTTATCTCTATAGATGAAAAAATTATTAAGTTTCATTCATTTATTCAAGAATTATGAGGGTCAACAATGTTAACTAAAGATTTTAATACATAACTTGTGCAAGATTTATTAGGCGAGTCCCGAGCATTGGGCGTGCTTAGGGCATATAGTTGGGCGCTTGGAATGTAAGTTTTATAGAACTAAGCTCCACACTTGAGTCTCAGGACATTTTGCTAGAGGCCCGTCCCAGAAAGAGCCCCAATAGAATTTTTTAAAACACTAATTTCAATTATGAAAGTGAAAAATTAAACATGTCATCTTTTTTTAAATTATTCTTTATATATATATATATATATATATATATATAAAAGTACATAATCTCAGGTGCATGTGCATCCTCATGGCACTATGAGGAAACCTTTGGGTAGGATATCCCATAGGCTGAGCAACTTTGTTATCCTGACAAAAAATAAAAGTGACTTTAGTAGGATATTTCTATAAGTTGAATGATCATGCAAGGAACATGGACATATGCAGGTGTGTCACCGGATTCACGTAAAATATGCTTTTCTCTCGAAATTATATATAATAATTGTGTTTATCTTTTAAAAAATATTTAAAAATAAATGTGTGAATTCACACTCAAAATATGATAATTGAGTGCACTTCTCTAAGAGTGTAAAATCTACACAATAATGTCTCGAGTCTCTTGAGTTTTTCATCTTTACTGTAATCTATGGCTAATTATTCTATTTATTTTCTTCTTATTTTTTTACAACTTTTTAAATTTTTTATTGTAGAATAATAAATAAATCAATTATTCATTCTTTCATAAATTTTATGCAAAACTTAATGACAGAGGCGGACCTACGTGTATAATTGGGGGTGCATGTGCACCCGTTAACTTCGAGGAAAAAATCATATATATATATATATATATATTGAGAAACTAGCAGAGATAGAAATATAAAAAGAGTGTGCCTTTAGAAGACATAGAACTGCATCTGATCTGTTGGTAGAAGTAAGGGTCGATTTCGGCCAACAAACCCATTTTTATCTCTTTTATAATATCAAAATTGCTAAATAGGGAGATTTAAACTCATGACCATTCAATAACTATTAGTAACTAATCAAATACGACATTAACTCGTCATTAAGAATTTCACTAATGCTTAAATTAAGATAACATTATATATTGGTGCACCCAGACTCTTCAAATCTTGGGTTCGCCTCTACTTAATGGTTATTGTTTTCATTACTCTCATAATTTTTATCATCATAACCTTTAAAATAATTAATTAATAGTCATATATATTCATGACATAATTTGTTATTCTTATTATAGTCCTATAATAAGAAGCATTGTACGACTTTGGAGAAATGATCACATTAGCCTTTTAAATTGTTAAGTTTTTGGTACTTATTTTATTCATTCTTTCATTTGACTTGAAGAATAAAATGAAGGCTATTGAATGGTGATCGACTTGTGGAATGGATGTCGATAACAGCTCAAAAGATTGTATATTGATTTCCTTTTTTTCTTTTTCTTTTTTAATTATTAAGATTGTAAGAATAATGTTGCACTTTTTTTTTAGTTCTCTTTATGACTCCTCTTTGTTTTGTATTTTATATTTTTTTTATTGTCGTAAGTTTGTATTTTCTTTTGGTTCAAAAGAGTAACTTATGACTTTGTCGGAGGTCATCTAACTACTAATTAAATATTTTTTTCTATGAAATCAATTATATATCTAAATAAATATATATTGACATTTTATCGTTTTTCATAACCGTGCAAAACACGAACAAGTTTACTAATTAATTATTAAAGGATGATATTGTTTTACCTTTTAAAATGTAAAAAGCTTGAAAGCCAAAAAAATTGAATATATCAGCAACATTATCAAAATGAAATTAAAGAGGAGATTGTTGTGACTTCTCTGCCATAATTAGTGGGCGTGCCTTTTCACATTTGATTTCTGTTTTCCAACGAAGAATTAATGACCATCAAGATACAATTAATTAGATAAATTTGGTTTATATAGCAAAATTGTTAATTTAATGAGAGAAAAAAAATTACTATTATTTTCAACTTTTAACTTTAATGATTAATGATATATATATGATATGATATTTTATATGATATATGATGATGATTGTACTAGAAAGTTAAAGTGATACTTGATTCTTCTTATTTTCTCTATTGTTTGTGTGTTATCTGTAGGAGATTTCAATCTTTGCAAAAGATGGAGTCATGCATGAAGCACAAGAGAATTGTTGTTGAAGATGAAAAAGAAAAAGAGGTTTGCTCCTTGTAACAATTCGAGATAAAATGTTATTTCGCGTTTGTATCTGAGCAAATAGAGTCTGTATGAAACTCTAACCAGAGATTTAGGTTTAAGAACTCCTCTGTTTCTGCCTCTGAAGAGATTTAGGTTTAGTTATCCTATTTTCTTATCATATTTGAGTTTTTGCTCTTATCTTTATGCTTCTACTTTTCCTTGTATTTTTTTTATTTTTCTTATAGTTCAAGAAATCTTAGCAGAAATTTAGAGGCTATTTTCAATCACCTGTATAATTTGTTTCAAGTTCCTTTTAGGGACTATGAGGAGTACGGTGGATGATACTCTTTTAGTGCGTTGAATGACTGTCTTTCGTTATGCTGATAGAAACAAACTAAGATGAAAGATATGGTTCATTTGATTTAGAACTGATCTTAGTCAGGGAAGGCCAAGATGGAGCCTAACATATGGATGGATATCAAGAGGACGCTAAAGCCCTTACGTTGGGGCCTTATTGGGAAGGGCCAACCTAATAGGGACACCGGACACCATAAACCCCACTTCAAGTGCACCTATATATGTATTGATTGAATCACTCTTTTTGTCTAGTCAGTGGAACCAGTGAACCATGCGAGCTAGTTAGATGTGTGGGTGTATAGGGCTCCTAGTATCCCTTTTGATTGATCTATTAAAACAGGAATGCTTTGAGACTTACTAAGGCGGGTTGTGGACTCTTTCATTAGGAAAGAGAAGAAGGGGGCCTAGGCACGGCAAATGTTGTACAGTTTAGTGGCAGAGGATTTTGAACTTCCTTAGGGAAGATACAATTGTATTGTTGACGACATGATTTTTACCTTAAAATTTTGCGTTCTTCGACCTTGTCGTCTGTGCTTTAGAATGTTTTCGTTTGCTGGTGCTTATGTTGTTAACTTAGCACAGTTTAAATAATACACTTCTTGTTTTGTTTATCGTCTTGCAGATGACTATAGATGTGAAGGTCACTAAAACAGTCACTATAACAGTTAAGGAATCAGATAGTATCGGACACGTGAAATCTTTAATACATGATCACGAGGGCATACCGGAATGTCTTCAACAACTATTTTCAAAAGATGTTCGCCTAACAGATGATGAACAGACTCTAATGGATTGTGGCATTATCGAAAACTCCACCCTTCATGCTTATATCGACAATTCAATCCCTAAGGTATTTTTGGTGAAGAGACCCCATGCTAATGTTACAATTACGGTTTATTCAAGGACATTCGATACTATCCAGGATGTCAAATGTAGGATTGGGGTCAAAGAAGGAGTAAACTCAAAGCAATTTTCTCTTATTCATGACGGAAAGTTTCTTGAAGATGACAAAACCTTAGCTTTTTACAAAATCAATGGTGGATCAACACTTCATATGGTTTCCATTCCGAGAGACAAGTTGCTTATTTCCGTGGTAATGCCAACAGAGGAAATTGTTAAAATAGAAGTCAAGGTTACCTTAACTGTTCGCGACATTAAGACAATTATAGAAAGCAGAGTTGGCTACTCGATAAGTTCTATGGATTTGATTCTTGGGAAACAGCAATTGGAAGATTCGAAGATATTATATCAGTGTGATATCAACGAAGAGTCTGTCTTAAAGGTGAAGAGTAGAACAATACAGATCTTAATCAAGACGAGTAGTGGAAGTATTACACTAGACGTTCACAGACACGAGTTGGTCAAGAATGTGAAGGACATGCTTCTACAGAAGCTAAACATACCAATTCATCTGCAAAAACTTGTGTTTGAGGGAAAAAGTCTTGCTGATTCCCGGGATTTAGCAAGCTACAATATCAGAATGCACTCGAATATCATTTTTGATTGTCGTAGTCCTGTTTCTACGACAATTATCTGATATTATGAGTTACCAACAGCATTGTGGATTCAAGTACTACCTCTGGTTCTCATTTGATAACGTTGATCAGGAACGAACTAAAACTACCTCTTAATTTGTTTTTTGGAAGGTGGTGAACTTGTTTTGTTTTCCAAATATGCTTTGATACGTTTTAGTTGAATGGATGGTCTTTTGAAAACAGTCTTTCTGACTTCTCAAGGAAGATAAAGGAGAAGTTTGATACCGTTTTTTATTTCAAATTTAATTTTGTTAGCTTTGATAGATCATGGTATTTGACCTTGCTTCTTCTTAGTTTTTACATGCATGTTAATTAGTAGATATTTTTTACGCCTAAATAGAATTAGTGAGGTATGTAAGGCATAATATAACATTATTAGATACTACATTCGTATTCACAAAAACAAGCTTTTGTCCATTAATCAAGAGTTAAATTTAAAAGGCAAAAAAGGAAGTTTTGACCAAAATAAGCCATTGTTTAAATCAATTCACCAAAATAGTATGTTTTAAATTTCTTTTACAAAACTAGTATAAACGTGGTTCACAGTAACGTTTTATACTTTATTTTATTTTAAAAAATTTAATGGGAAAAAGGCAAAAGTTCACGGAGCAAACAGAAATAAAACGTTATTGTCAATAACGTTTTATACTTCGTTATCTTGAATCATGTTTTAGAGCTACAACGTTACTCAAAGTAACATTTTATATTTTGTTACTGTAGATCACGTTTTACAACTAAAGTGAGAGTCACGGGCTCTGCAATTAAAGAATCGAATCTTGCAAATTTTACAGATTATAAAACGTTACTGGCATTCACGATTTATGTAGATTTAATCACGGGTCATCGAATTCTGCAAATTAAGAATCAAATCCTACTACGTTGGAATCTTACAGATCATAAAACGTTACTATAGATCACGTTTTTACATTAAATCGTGACTATCAATTACGACACTATGTTAAAGTCAACTTTTTCATTTTTTAAACTGACCACACATATGGTTATAAAATAAACCTTGTTGTAATAGAACACATTCCAACAATATTCAATCAAGCTTTTGTTTGTGTAGCCCAATTTTGAAACAATATTCACAAAGGTATGAATTAAATAAGTCAAGTCAATATATCATATTATGTTATTATTTTACCATAGCTTTCAAAATTTTTTTCTGATTTATTAATTAAAAAGATGACTTATTTTTATGTGTAGGAATAAAAATGGCGAATTTTGAACATAATGTGATGGTTGCTTTGTATTGGGGTGGCGAAATAATTATTGAAATGAACGGATTCAGGTATACTGAATGTGCTAGAATGATTATTAGCATGTGTACTTCAATGAAGTATGTTGAATTGGTTGAATTATTGCATGAGAAAATGGGTACAACTAGTGAAAATATTCAAATGGATATTTCGGGAAAATATCCTTGTTCGATTCAAGGTAACCATACAAGGTTCATTGAGTTTAAAATTGAGGATGATCAATCTTTGCTACAATTTTTTTTTTATACCTCAAAACTTTGCGGATAAGATTGACATAAATGTTTTGGAAATGTATGTAAAGACCAAATCAACAAATCAAAATGATATATTTCAAATTAGTGGTCAACATGGTTATCACATGAATTTATTGGCTCAAAATCATGGATTTGCCACGGTTAGTCAACCTCATTATGCAGAACCGATTGCTCAACCACAATTCCAACAATTGTTAATGTGTGACCAACGATCATTTGGTGAAGGTTCAAGTAGCCAAAGACATGTTGACAATAGCCCGAGGGAATATGAGGACAGGTAAAACAACAAATTTATGTTTTTACCGAATTTTAATATAATTAGTTGATAACATAATTTTACACATTATAAATATACATACATAGATAGATAGTGATATTTTTTGTGATTAATTACCTTAATTTTTTTTTTAAGAAATAACCTTTTAGAGTATAAATTACTGATTTTAAAACAAGCTTCTATGTCTCATAATTTTTCTAGAATTTAATTAAATTTCTTTTTCCACAGAGAAAATGAGACCAACGTTGATCCATATAGTGATGTAAATGCTAAAATTAGTGAAGAAAGTTCGGAGGAAGATGAACCTTCAAAAGATGATGGTGAAAGTGAATCTGATGAAGATATCAATGATGCTAGAGATTTTTCTCAAAATGACATTGGTATAAATCCTCCTAATCAATTTGAACGAGATGTGTCTGAAGTGCAAAATCATGATGTACCCTATTTTAGAACATTGGATAATGAGGAAGACGTTTTCATGTCTACATGTGAATTTGAGATGGAGTATTGTTCGGTCTGGTCTGAAGATGCCACAAAAGATTTGAAAAAAGGCATGTTTTTTAGTAGTAAAGAAAAATTAAAACGAGCTGTGACAATTTGGAGTTTGAAAAAAAAATAAAGAGTTCAAGGTGGTGACATCAAACAAAAGTTTATGGGTTGTAAGATGCAAGTTTCATACTTTATTGGGTTGCTTGTTGTTTCTCCGAGGACGAAAGGTTGGAGATAACCTTTGGAAAATAGGAAAATATATTGAAAATCATAGATGTGAGACTGAGGGGCTTTCTAGAGGTCATGCCAACCTAAATACCAATTTAATTGCATCTTTGATTCTAAATCAAATTCAGAAAAATCCTAAGGTTTTGGTGGTAGATGTCATTTCCAAGGTTCACGAAAAATTTGGTCATCAAATAACAAAGCGTGGCTTGGACGTCAACGCGCGTTTGAATTGGTGTATGGTGACTTTAAGAAATCATTTAATGACCTACCCAATTTTTTTGTAGCTTTTCAACACTTTAACCATGAAACAGTTGTGGAATGAAAACACGAAGAGACTATAATTCATTAGAGGTAAAAACTTTTAAATTTGTGTTTTGGGCTTTCAAGTCATGCATTGATGGATTTCGAACATGTCGTCCTGTTATTTCAGTAGATGGAACTCATATGTATGGAAAATATGAGATCAAATTATTGATTGCTGTTGGAATTGATGGAAGTGATAACATTCTTCCTCTAGTGTTTGCCTTTGTAGACAAAGAATCGAAAGAGGCATGGAAATGGTTTTTTAGGAATTTGAGTGCACATGTGATAAAAGATAGAGAAGATATTTGTGTTATATCTGATAGGGCAAAAAGAATTTTGACTAGTTTGCAAGAGTTACGCCAATTTCAAGAGCCTCGAGTCTTCCATCGATATTGTATAAGGCATCTTAAGAGCAACTTTCAATCTCGATTTCCAAACAAGGATCTTAGTAGGCTGATGTGGAGGGCTGCTTCAGCCCATCAAGTAAGAAAATTTGAATCCTTGATTTGACAAATTAGAGAAGAAAATGAAGAAGCATATGAATATCTCATGGAAATCCCCTTGGACAAATGGACTGTTAGTCATGATGGTGGAAAAAGATGGGGAGTGTTGACAACAAATCTTTCAGAGTCGTTCAATGGAGTGTTGAAAAAAGCACGAGGCTTGCCAGTCACTGCTATGGTTAGACTTTCATTAGAGCAAACTGTTGAATGATACACTCGTAGGTCTCAAAAAGCGCAACAACTTTTAGAACAAGATGAATTGTGGACCGAAAGATTCAAAATGAAGTGGGAAAAGAACTATGAAAGTTCAAAAAGGCACTTTGTTTTTTATTGGAATATACCCACAGGGGTATATGAGGTTAGATCTATACAGGTTGATGGTAATGGTGGTAATCCTTATTGTGTTTCACTTAATGAAAGAAAATGTGATTGTGGAAAATGGGTTAATTTGCATTTTCCATGTTCACATGTCATGAAGGTCACTGATAGAATGGGAGGGCTAGCTAGAAACTTTGTTAGTGAACATTTCACTGTAGAGAATTATGTTGCAACATATTCTGGGTCCTTCTCACCAATTGGCCATGAGGCGTATTGGCCATCTCCTAATTTTAGAATGGAAAGTAATGAATTCTATCGTCATCTCAATCGGTCAAGGACAACTAGAATACCTAATGATATGGATCGTGGTGCTGCAGTATATGAGCGAGCTTGTGGATTATGTAGACAAACCGGACATGATAGGCGTCGATGTCCAAATCGTAATTAAGTTTAAGTGGATAGTTTTTTATTAGTGTAATTGTGTTAATTCCAATTGTGGGTCAATGTCTAGTTATGATAATTTTCTTTGAGTTAGCTACTGTAACGTATTTCAAATAATAATTAAATTTTTATATCTATCATTCTACTATATTACTACAATACTTAACACCATTAAAATGAAGTGAAAAAAGATTAACCACCAAAATGAAGTTCTTTGCTGGAATTTCAAAAACTAGAGTTAATTTTTACATAAGAAGAACGAAAATGAGCAATCTGTAAATATCCATATAAGAAGAATGAAAAATGAGCTCCAAGTTATCTTCTTTTTCTTCCTATATCCAATCTGCAATAGGAATTTCAAACTGTTAAATATTGAAGCTAATGAAAGGAAAACCTTTCAGCCATTACCATTAGGAGATTAACGTAATGCATCTCAAAAGAAAAATAACAATTTTTTTTACCATGTTGATTAGAGCTTTAACTGGTGTAACTTCAATATTGAATTAACTATATGTTTCAGTCCCATTTATGGAGAAAATTGTCCTAACGTGCTGGATACAAAAGGCCAATAGATATAAACATAAACATAAACATAACATATAGCAGGTCAATTGTTCAACATAAAATCCATTTAAAGTCCATTCACTTACATGACCTCCAAAGGTCAATCCATTTAGAATGAGTTTATGAAGAATCCGATACGGATGCAACAATTGAAAGACTAAGAATTATAAGCTTACTTGAAACCACATGATTCATCCTTTGCCTTTTTTCTTTGTTAACACAGAAACTTTGTTATTTTTTGTTTTTTTCTTTTGGCCGTGCTGATTAAGATGATGACTCCCTGAAAAGTAAGAACAATTTTTCAATTATTCAACTAAAAAGAAACACTTATGTCAAAGAATAAGGTGAAGATTTTAAAGTACTAGTCCCACAAAGCTTAGGAAAAATTTTACGCTTATTCTTCACTGATGGTTCACCACCTTGGCTTGCACCTTGATTTGCATCCTCCAACTCATCACCATCTACTTCATTGTTAGAATCATTCAACTCATTACCTTCTACAGGCGATGAGGAAAAGTTTGGGGCGTTGTCAAAATGTTGAGGTTGATTACTACCAAATACATTTTCAAGTGATGTAAGACTTGGATCCCTTGAAATTTGTGGAGTCTGTGGTGTCATGTATGGCACAATCTCAGTGTTTGTTGGTTCATAATCCGAGGCTGCTTGGAAATCTTGTGTGGCTTGATCATCTTCACCCATTTCAATAGGCGCTCGACCTCTCTCAACAACACGTACCTTCCTACCCGCAACACCACCTTTTCCTCGCCGACGTATAAGGGGATGCAAATGGTCAGACATTTGCTCATCTCTTCTATAGTTGGCTTGCACATGAATCTTATCTACCTCTTGCACATATGCCAAACAATTAGATCCTTCATCCCGCACCATTGCACGAAACCCGTAAAATTCCTCCATTGATGGGTTATCACCTAGTGATATTGCTTTATTAACCATCAAATGAATATGACGTGCCTGGCCAAAATAATTAATTCTATGAGGGAATCAGGTACTGAAAAGATTAAGAAACATGCTAGCCAAGTTGACCAAGTTTGTAAACCACGCAAAATTAATGAGGGAATCAGATTTTTAACATGTTGAGTCAATTTTCATAAAAAATGTGGCAGACCAATAAATTAGGACACCATGGAGAGAATGAAATCATATCCACAAATCACAAATATGAAGTACAAGTAGAACAGATGAGGAAAACTTTGATATATAGGCTAACTGGACAAATCATATCCACAAATCCACAAATATGATGTACAAACTTTGATAGAATGCTAATGAACCAGATTCTACTAATTCAATATGCTAACTGGACAAGTTAAAGTAAAGAAAAATTAAGTTATCAAACTTACCATTGTTTCGTATGCCGTCGCATTAGGCACATAACCTTGTTGTTATTGAGGACTCGAAATAGGATTACCAATGATAAAACGAGTAATACGTCTAAACCAAATAAGGTAAGGATCATCATACCGAAGTGATCCATGAAGGATTGGTGCATTACATACATATTGGTCAATATGGTTCCAAAAATGCAACCATTGTGCATGCTCTAACTCCCAATTTGTGTTTGGTCTTCTTCGATGATCATGGTGAAAATGCGTAGCGTCAAATGGAAATGGAAATGGTATCGCCTGTACCAATCCAAATTGCCTCATAACTCGATCGGGTAAATGAACTTCCACAACATCCCAACAAAAAATTGGAACTCTAGCACGCCATATATCTCTTCCAAAGCGGCAATATTCGGGAAGACTCTCAATTATGTCAGAAGAATATGGCTCCCAAATAAACTATAACAAAAAGAAGTGTTCACAATTACAATATATATGAAAGCTAAGAGAAAACTAATACAACATCTTACTTGATCTTCTATCATGGAATCAAGCGCATCCCTGAAAACTCTTAACACATGTTTGGTAGTGTCGGTCCAACTAAAATGTGCAAACCATCTAGCAGCATGTGGACCCCCAGGTAAACCAATAGGGAAAATATTTCTCGTGTCTCTTTGTGCTACAATCTAAGGCCTAAGGATGGTAACTCTCTCCCATGCCCAAATCTAAACATAATAGATAATTATAAACTAGATAAAATTTCAATAAATACTAAGTGTAATTATTGGGTATACCTGAAGTAGTGGTAGGAATCCAGCAATCTCATTTTGGGTACTTTGGGAGGCTTTACAGAGAAAGCGATACAAGTATGCTAGGGTTGCACTACCCCAACTGTAAGACCCTACTGCAGTGATATCTTCCAACATAGGCAAGTACATAAGCTTTAAAAGACCGCCAGATGTGTCTGCCAACATTAAACCAGCAATCATCCAAAACATATAACACCTAGCCTTCTCGTTGACCATATCCTGTGTTGCCCAGTCAGGCAACCGCGGCTGAAGTCGCAAGTGTGCATTAAGCGCAGAGACCTTGAGACTACTATGTTTAAAGTCTTGAGGATGTGGAGTAAAACCTAATAATCTTTGACAAATATTTTGCCAATCAACTACGGACCTCTGTGGCTCATACCCAACTACTGGATTACCTTTCACGGGTAAGCCATACAATATATCCACGTCTTGTAAGGTGATCGTAGCCTCACCCGTCCTAAAGTGGAATGTATGAGTCTCAGGACACCATCTTTCAACTAGTGCAGTGATTAAACTACGATCTATAACAGGCCTATGAGATCTATAAACACCATATATTCCGGATAATTTAATCACATCTAGAACTCGTGGATGGATAGGATGTTCATTTACTAGGTCCCAAAACTTCCCATCGCATTTCCTTGTGTTCAAAATCATATTATCATTTCCTATCCGTATATCTCGTGACCTATGAGTGAGCTGTTCAGTTAATACACACGGATCAATTGGACCGGGATCCAATTGGTATGCATTATTAGCAGCCATAAAAGAAATACCTATACATAAGTAATTATTTTTAAAATAATGAACCAACTAACAAAGAAAATCAAACTCAAGTGTAACGTAACTTAGAAACTTTCCTCAAATGCTTCACCACGAACATTTTCAATCATATCAATTAAAATATAAGCTTTTCTATAAGAGTCGCAACTGTTGAGAAAATTGAATATCATCACTCAAATAGTTTCAAGTACATATAATTTCTTATTCTCATAAAAAGGGAAAAAACAGAAACTAAAATGTCATTTTTTAACAAAAAGGTAAACAACAAATTCATCAACTATAAGATAAACTATATCAGTGTATGAAAAAATTACCTCAATCACAAAAAAATTCTTCTTTTTCAAAGGTTTTTGACCCTTTTTAAAGCAAATCTGCAGACGTCCTTCAAATTTTCGAAAGTTTCACCTCCAATCTCTTGTAGTGTGTCTAATCTTCAGTAGTCGAACAAAACTCTCAAATCTCCTGTATAGAACAAAAGGGTTTCAAATCGAGTAAAGATTAAGCGTCGATTCTGTAAGAGCAAGAAGATGGGTTTTTGTTTATCGCCATAATTGCAACCTGAAGGTGGGTTAGGAGAAAGAAGACGGTTTTTTTGGGTCTTCCGTGAATCTCCTCTTTTTTTCTTTTGTAATTAGTACAACTAAATTGGGGGTTTTTTATTCTAGTATAGGATTAAAAGATATATGCTTAAAACGTTATTCCCAATAACGTATTAGAGTTAAAACGTGATTCCCAATTACGTATTATTATTTAACGTCGTTAGCAGTCCGTCTTTTTCTCATTAAATTTTTTAAAATAAAATAAAGCATAAAATGTTACTGTGGACTACGTTTATACTAGTTTCATAAAAAAATTTAAAAACATACTATTTTGGTGAATTGATTTAAACAATGGCTTATTTTGGTCAAAAAATCATCTACAAAAAAGTATAGTATTATGATATTACTTAATCTATTAACATTTTACTTTGAGGTTTTGTATTTTTTTTCCATAATAAATGTAGGTTGATCTTATCCGAGTACATTCGTAGTCATACCTATAAGTTTTTGTCTATTAATGAAGAACTAAATTTAGTTTTAAAAGGCAAAAAAGTAAACATTATGAGATTACTTATTCCATTCACATTTTACTTTGAGGTTTAATAGTTTTATTCATTCTTATTTAATATAGAGTGTGCATCATAGAATATTTAGTTTTTTTCTTCTTCTTAATTTTTACATGCATGTTAATTAGTCGAGGCTTTTTATGCCTAGAAAAAAATTAGTAAGGTAAGGTATAGCCCCTTTCTTGTACTTTTCTTTTGAGTTTCACTTTGATCATATAAACTAATCTCTTGACACATGCGCTGTACATGTGTCTCATGTTAATTTTATAGATTTGTTAATAGTTAGCAAACTTGCTATAAAGTCACAAATGACTAATTTGAGCCCAAATAAAAATACAGACTTACGAAAGTTAAAATGTACAATCCTTCTTAAGATGAGTTCTTATTGACTCCTCTCATGTCCAATCAAAATGTTGAATTTTTTTTTTTTTTGGTCAAAAGATGAAATATTAAATTAGTTAATACTCCCTCTGTCCCTAATTATTTGTCCACTTTTCCTTTTATAGTTGTCCCTAATTACTTGTCCATTTTGACAAATCAAGAAAGGACAATTTTTTTTATCTATTATACCCTCAATTAAATGATTAATTACTTTGAAAAATATTGAACTTTTCATCCACTTCATAATTAATAGAGGTAAAATGGTAAACTCACCATATCATTAATTATTTTCATAATAAGTGTGTCAATTCAAAAGTGGATAAGTTATTAGGGACAGAGGAAGTAGGTGGGAGGGGGGATGGGGTTACTAGTACGAATATTACTATTAACTGATATATATTAAGGCTTGGTATGCCTAACAAAAAGAGTTCCTACTTTGTTTCTTTATATTTTCTGAGACAAAAAATGGTGAAACCTCCCAGCACAAAACATAGTAGGCTTGCTTCATTTTACACCCCCTTCTTAGCTAGAGCATCTGCCACTTGGTTTGCCTCTCTATAGCTATGGCAAATTTGGGGGGTCCCCAACTGTAGTAGTAGCTCCTTGCCGTCCGATAAAATGTTAAAGAGTATAAGGGGTTATCTTGAGCAATAAGATTCATAATTTCCTAGCAATCCATATTGGTTTCCCGTTTTAGCTATTAACTAATTTTAATAATAAAAAAAGGGAAAATTTTCAAATTTGATGTGATCAATATTTATAGAGTGAAAGAAAAATACAAGACGTTGGAATGTAAATGGTTGCAATTAGGTTTTTGCTTTGATTAATATTATGCAGAATATCAAAATGGCTAGCGAAGAAAACTTAGTTAAATTCACAAATATTGGTCCCGGTCCATCCCGCAGAATTACTTCAATCCGCTCTGCTGCCCCATCTCGTCTTAGATAATTTTAAACCCGCACCACTTTACATAAGCTTAAACCTGCCCCACCTTGCATCCGCATCACCCCACTTACTATCCTATCTACAAAATTCATTCCCTATGTATGAGGAATGTAGAAGGTCAACCACTTCAAATGAAGTCATCACTTCAAATCATATTTTTTTGAAAAAAAATCAATTTGGCCAAACAATTTTCTATAAAATGCCAACAAGAAAAGGAAGAATGAATAGGTCATCAACCTTCTAACGTTTCTCATTTTTTTCTCAACTTCTCCCAACTACTCTTAAAGGTTCACGCGGAATTTGTAATCCTCAAAGTCAAGTTTATTATACCTAGGTAAGGTGTCAAAATGGATAAATTAGATTGAATTCGAGCGGATCAAATAAAATAAATCAATAAATAAAGGGAAAATTATACTTATTGGACATGAAAAA